AAACTAATCAGGTCTCTGCATAGTCCTAAAGGATCTATGTACCAAGTTTCATTGAAATGCGATGATTAGCACTTGAGATACCGGTGGAAAAGCTGAAAATTAACTAATTATGCAAATTAGGTGATTAATATGCACAAATATTTATCCGAAACAATCAATCTCTGCATAGTCCTTGAGTATGTAAGTACCAAGTTTCATTGAAATGTAATGCTAACTACTTATATCAAATGCTGAAAATTAATTAATTATGCAAATTAGGTAATTAATATGTACTGATATTACCATAAAAACTATCAGGTCTGTGCAGTGTCGTATGACATCTATGTACCAAGTTTCATTGAAATGTGATGATTAGTACTTGAGATATCAGTGGAAAAACCGAAAATTGACTAATCATTATGCAAATTAGGTAATTAGTATCCACGGATTATTACCAAAAACTAATCAAAACCTAGCATTAGTTCAGAGCATCTATGTACCAAGTTTCATCAAAATCCAATGAGTGGTTGTTTAGATATCAGTGGAACAGTCATGGAACCACTAAAAAATAGCTAATTATCATGCAAATTAGGTAATTAATATGCACGGATTTTTACCAAAAATTAATCAAATCTGCGCATATGTTCAGAGCATCTATGTACCAAGTTTCATCAAAATCCAATGAGTGGTTCTTTAGATATCAGTGGAACAGTCATAGAACAGCTAAAAATTAGCTAATTATCATGCAAATTAGGTAATTAACGAGCATGGATTTTTACCAAAACCTAATCAAATCTGCGCATTGGCCCAGAGCATCTATGCACCAAGTTTCATCAAAAACCAATGTATGGTTCTTGAGATAGCAGTGGAACAGTCGGACACACATACACACATACACACATACACACATACACACATACACACATACACACATACAGACACACTAACTGCAAAGACTCCCATTTTGTGCTTCGCACATGGGAGTCAAAAAGTATTAAAACTGCAACTTACCAACATATCACCAGAAGCAATGAAACATGATAGACCAAGAGCCGTTGAACACTAATAAAAGAAATTTTTATAGTGATTAATCAAATAAATCATTAACAATTTGAGTGGGCAAATATATACATGTATCTAGGTAGTTGTTCAGCTAGTATTTTTTTAGATAGTATTATACAACAAGCAGCCTATCGGCTGAGATAGCTCCGCTGTTAGCAATGCACATTTCAATTAAAGAACTGAAGACATCATTAGAAAATGAACAATATGTATAGTATCAAAGCAATCGGACTTACAGTTTTTAACAAGAAGTCGAAAATATCACTTTTTACCAAAAATGACAAAAATATTCACCAAAATTAGAGAATTGAAGATATCACAAAATGAACAAATCTGAGAGAGGTCCACATGTAGTACCTATATATGTAATATCAAAGCAATCAGACTATTGTTTTTTTACAAGTCGAAAATATCACTTTTTACCAAAAATGACAAAAATATTCACCAAAATTATAGAATCGAAGATATTATCACGAAATGAACAAATCTGAGAAAGGTCTACATGTAGTATCTAAATATGTAATATCAAAGCAATTGAACTTTTGGTTTTTAACAAGAAGTCGAAAATATCACTTTTTACCAAAAATTACAAAAATGACAAAAATATTCACCAAAATTAGAGAATTAAAGATATCATTACAAAATGAACAAATCTGAGAGAGGTCCACATGTAGTACCTATATATGTATTATCAAAGCAATTGGACTTGCGGTTTTTAACAAGAAGTCGAAAATATCACTTTTTACCAAAAATGACAAAAATATTCACCAAAATTAGAGAATTGAAGATATCAACATGAAATGAACAAACCTAAAAGAGGTCTACCCAAGGTACATATACACCAAGTATCAAAGCATTCAGGCTTGTAGTTTTCAAGAAGAAGTCAAAAAAGTAAAACATTGACACGGACGACGGACAATCACTCATATGATAAGCTCTGCTCGACAAAGTCGACAGCGGAGCTAAAAACTGTTAAATTCAAATTCTCCATATATGTCAACAGATAAAATGTAACTTGTAAATATACTGTATTGTTATGAGTACGTTTTTCTGCATGAAGGAAAAGAATTGGAATATTTACCACAACCCATATTTATTTGAACTATTAGGTGATAGTTTCATCATGTTTTATATCAAAAGTATAATAAATGCATAATATCCACTATACTCTGATTTCAGATCAGAACCCATTTTGGAAATGAGAGACAGCACAAATAAGCATTTACAGTCAAACCTGTGTTAACGACCACCTGTGCAGAGCGGCCACCTGCTCATAGCGACCACCTTAGTACAGTCCCTTCTCAATTTACATGTTAAAG